TATATATATATATATATATATATGGTAATCTATCGTTTTGGGTACGTAAAATCGCCCGCGGCTATTTATGTACGAAAACGTTACCTCATTGTCAAGGCTTTAATAGAAGTATTTTGTCATACTTTTGTGTCAAATATTATAGATAAATGAATAATAAACCTAAATCAATGGCCAAATATATCGATATAGGCCAGAAATTAACTTTAAACAGCAGTGTCTGAGAGCAAGATTTGCTATATATTATATAAACAGCAGCCATTTGTAAAATAGAGTGGCTTCCCCCTGAATCTGGCGCTAAAAGCTTATAAAAATAAAACTTAGACAAGATGGCTGCTATAGTAAATGAGCATGTTTGCATCTGTTGGAAACATTGCTAGTCTTCATTTATTACAGAAAAGTTTTAATTCAATTGTTTAAAAACAGGTACATAAATGAATCAAGGAAACATTTTTGAATTTTTTAAAACATAAATCCTCCTCAAAATGTGAAATAATTATTAAAATTTAAGGAGTCACCTGTTTTTCACATTACAAATCGCGGGCGATTTTACGTACCCAAAACGATAGATTACCATATATATATATATATATATATATATATATATATATATATATATATATATATATATTGGCCTACCCTTATATCAGCAGATAGTTACATATTCGGTAACAAACAGAATCTACTGATTTTTGATGATTTCGCTTGCCCCTACTAACAAGTAGAACGCAATCTATTTTGTTTAATATTATCTGGAATTGTTTTCCTTAGTATTAGGTAAAGTTGTATAAATTGTAATATGCAACCACGAACAGCAGTGATGTGTTGCTATAAAAACAATGTGATATAAAAACATGCATTTATCCTATATCGCTAGCATGATAAAAACTTATCGAAAAGAATATTTTGAGATGGATTCATATTTTCTATTATAGTTAAAAAATGTAAAATAAAATAACATAAAATTCTAAAAATGTAAAAAATAAGAAAATAAATAAATTATTGAATGAATTTTAAAAATAGTATTTTGTGTTTATCAGGTTAAAAATAAATAAATAATTCCAACTTTATGATCCTTTTGAAAATCTTTTTTTTAAATGTAATAAAAAGTGATCAACAAATTTAATATTGAGCCGGATTATTTTGATTGTCCTTTTGTTTCCAGTTAAAAATAACCTGGATAGCACTAGCAGTCGCTCATGGGTAACTGAGCAAAGGGAAATAACTCAATTAATATTTTTCACAAACTTGCATTGGCTTGGTTCTTTCCCCTTATGAAAATCGGGGTGGTCGGTAAATGTGTGGAATTATTTTGGTGGAAGTGGATATGATTTTTTGTGACGACAGTGGATGAAAGGAGTGTGGCTAAATAGCGTAACGTCATTTTTACAAGGCCATAAAACCTTTAATAAAAAACTATAAAGTACTATTACAAAACGCTGGTTATAATTTGACGTAAATAAAAATAATGCCTTTAGAATTCCTTTAAAGACTTACTACGTAAAAATTGTCTGCTCTTTAGTAGTCAGTCATGTCAGGGGTCGGCAACCTGCGGCTCGCGAGCCGCATGCGGCTCTTTTGATATCAAGATGCGGCTCTCCAGCTCCTTGAACAAATACTAATAATCTTAATAAAAAAATAGAATATTTGAAACAAAAATAATGTTTGTGGCTCTTTAAACCCAGAGAAATTTTGAAAATTGTAACTTTTGGCTCTTCCGCTTCAAAAGGTTGCCGACCCCTGAGTCATGTGACTGGTCAGAAAATCAAGTAATTGGAAACACGTGGAGATTTTTTTTTTAAACATAGTAACATAAAAATTGAGATGGGGGGGGGGGGGTACAATAGACATGAATTTGAAGAAGGCGTAATTCGCTAGTTAAAAATAAACCGGGAGTGATCTCCGCTAAACTTTCTCGAATATTCTTATATAAAACAACATGGCATGGGAACTCGGGATATAGACATGATTTTTAATCCATTTTAAATACTTAACCTTACATTAGAATAAAAATCTCGTGTAAAAAGAAGTGCATAACAAGTGAACGCCAAATAAATATGTGCATAATAGTGCGCAATATAATACTTTATAAATTTACATGCGTTTTTTTTTTAGAAATTGGAAATAGCGTAAATTACTACTTCCGCTCAACGGAAATTACTCAAAATTTGAAAGAATGTAGAGAATTAGATCATTTACTTACACGTGAAATTTTATTTATCTATCTGAAATAGTACTCAAGTTATAGGCTTTTGAAACATTCAAAGTAAAAAAGTACAACTTCCGGTTATCGGAAATCGCTCAAAAGTTGATACGGATCTACGATTTTGATAAAATACTTATATATAAAATTTCATCAACCTAGCTGTAACGGTACTCAAGTTATCGTGTTTACACACAGACACACACACACACACACACACACACACACATACGGACAAGATTGCAAAATTATGTTTTTCCGTATCAGTGAGGTGTAAAACGTCGAGATTTGTGAAAATTTCGGTTTTTTTTTTGCACGATTACAAGACTTTCTCTATACTTCTTATATACGAGAAAGTAAAAATATCTCAAGCTTTTATTTACTTCACAGATACCAAGATGAGTTCAATTGATGACGCAGATCATTCATCAGATGATGTGTCGGACTTACTTACTGGTATGCAGAGTTTCTTTCAGGCATCTTTTCTGGGGGGGGGGGGGGGCAAATTTTGAAAAGATCTTACATACAGATACATCATATAGTTTTATATATAGGTATACGTTTACATAAACTTAGACATGGGCATAGACAGACTTAGGCATGGACATGGACAAAGGGTACACAGGCATAGGCATATATGAATGCGTATGCGTACACTTCTATGTACACGTACACTCAAGCGCAGACACAGAATTAGTACATATAGATTTATAGATCTACATAAAATATTCTCTCAAGGGGATCTGTAAATTTATGTTTTTCTTTTCTCTAGTCTGTCACATTAGCTTTGATTGTTATCAAAATAGTTTGTTTTCACCTGTACAGGTACACATGAAGTACAAGAATGCCTTGAAGGTCAAAGTGAAGCAGATTTACACTCTCACATGGCTAACTGTAAGAAAAATCCTGGCCACTCTGAGTTTGTACCGATTAATAAGTTTACCATGCAACACATTCCTTCTGGGTACCAAGACAAGGAACTCTTTAATTTCATCCAAATTTTCGCTAAACGAACTGTCCAGATAGCCGTTAAGTTCACCAGTCCAGACAGACCAGAGTTTGTACCAGGAACCAAAAATCCATATCCTTGCTTCCACACCAGGGGAAAGAACTCACTGCATACTGGGACAGGAAGGGTGACGTGTGTGGACACGTACACACAGCTAACATGCAACAGAACTTGTCCATGTCCTGAATGTGAACACTCGGACACACCCAGTAAAAAATGGTGGAAAGTCTGTGTTCTGACCGCCAAACATGTGGTGTTTGATGACAGTGAGGCTAAACACACCAGCTGTCGTCTACATTTTGATGATGATACAAGTCCAGTGGTCAAATTTCATGCGTGGAAGGTGGATCAAACATCAACTGATAACGACAGGTCGATGTTGTTTTGTTTGACCCATGACTTTGATTTATTTAATAAGTTGTATGAGAGCTGGAAAAAGTGCGAACGTCGATGGAAAGAGCTTATGGGTAAATACGCCAGTTGTAGAAATAAGGACAAGGTGGCCATTATAGTCTCCCATCCTCATGGCTGTTCTAAGCAGGTCTCTGTAGGTCACTGGGTGGACAGGCAGGCTGAGCCAAAATATCACACCTGGTATAGGTATACAGCTTGCACCTGCCCAGGTAGCAGCGGAGCTTCAGTCTACAGAGTGGGCTATCCGCTGACAGAACATCCACACAGCAAGGCTAACAGCGCAGACGGGCTAAATCACAGTGGAAAGATTGTCCAAATAGAATTTTCAGATTATACTGAGAATTAAACACGAGTATAATCTTAAAATTCAATGGAAAAAACACTTTACTTTATAAATCTGTACCGAGTTCAGTGACAGTCTCAGAAATGTGTAGTGTTAGTATTTTCTTTTGTTCTTAATGGGAACTGGCTACATACATGACTTACACCTCTGGGAACTGGCTAACTACATGACTAAAATCTTTGGGAACTGGCTAAATACATGACTGAAATCTTTGGGAACTGGCTAACTACATGTCAGAGACCATCTTTGCTTGTTACATCCACATCTTTGCTGGTTCGATCAATACCATAATTTAGCATAATTTAGTACAGCATCATCTATAGTTAATTTAAAATATTCATCATTTCGCCTTATAACATTGGGGTCATTCACCTACAACGCACCCATTCGTATTTTTTGTACAACCCATCAACAGTTACATTCATTCATAAACAGCCACGCCCTTAAATCCATAGCTTCATGATGAATACTTAATCGGTAAAGTCGGTAAAGCTCATGGTTGCTAAACCGAAAAAGTCTCGAGTTCGAACCCTCGGGCAGATGGGGCTCGTTAGCTGGGGACAGCCACTCTTCTAGGAGAGACAACTCCAAAATTAAACAACTGCTGCCTTGTAGTTAGTTTGTTCTTGGTTGGACAAAGGCTATGGAAGCAAATCCAAAAAGAAAAGCAGGCTGAAATCGGAGTCAATGGCCTCAATGGCGCATAACCAGTTGACACGTAACGCTTAATTGTGTTGGAGGCGTGGTCGAGTCGGCAAAAAAAGCTCATGGTTGATAAATTCGAACTAAGTCTCGAGTTCAAACCCACTGGCAGATAAATCTCCGCCCCCTTCAACACTAATAATTAAGAACGAAGAAGAAGAAGAAAGACTTACTAGATAACAATTAACCATTAGTATTGACTTGACAACAGCAGTGTATGTGTTGATTTGAAAATTTATTTTTTAACTTAAGGGCCTGTAGTAGCATTCATTAAAATCCAAACAAAACTGAATGAACTATCATGTGTTGTTATTCTTTTGAAAGGGATTCTGCTAGCACTTGTTCTTTTTGTCATAACTCTTGTAAGCAGGGTTGTATTTTTTGCTGGCCACACATTTAGAAAAGTCAAGGTCACACTGACACGACTTCTTTCCACAGATGGTGTTTTGTCCTGGAATTTAAATTTAAAAAGATTTGTCTCTTCAAACTATGAAATAATATTTAAAAATTGTTAAACAACCATCACTCGTTTTTTACATAATGTTTTTTTATACTTAGAGAAAGTATTGTAATCGTGCAAAAAAAAAAAGAGATTTTTAGAAATCTCGACGTTTTACAACTCCCTGAGTCGGAAAAAAACATAGTTTTGCAATTTTGTCCGAATGTCTGTGTGTATGTGAACACGATAACTTGAGTACCGTTATAGCTAGGTGGATGAAATTTCATATATAAGTATTATATCAAATTTGTAGTTCTGTATCAACTTTTCAGCGATTTCCGATAGCCTGAAGTGGAACTCATTCTACGGTGAATTAAAAAATGAATATACCACATTACGTGTGGGTTTTTTTTATCCTACTATTACAACCACAGAAAGCACAAATCTGCTAGAAAAATTCCGAGAATGAAAACTTTCTGTTCAATGACATACAATGAACCGATCCTTGAATAAGGTCTTATTATCAAAAGATTTGATTTCAACTTATTTCGTGATATTAAAAATAACACGTAGATTTATAGTCTATAGTATTTCTCGATAACAAAAATTTGTTATAGTTCTGACTAAAGAGTGGCTGATTTGGGAAAAAAAACGGACCGATTTTAAAACATTAGCAGCATAGCAGGTTAATATTTCTCACTGATTTGTTTTAATCTTGTTTGTATTTGTATTTTTTGTAAACAATAATGTATCTATTATTTTATAATACGGTGGACAGTTTTCTACGTCTTAACTTCAAACTTTAATTTTCTTTAAATTTATTTAATATGTATGATGAATGGGTATGTTTGTGAAGGGATGAGTGTGTGTGTGGCGTGTGGGTGAGTGAATGTGTGTGTGGTTTTATTATAGCATCTATTATATTCTTTTTTTTATCTCATTTTGTATTATAACTATGTAACATTATTTCTTTATTCCACATTTTTAGTGCTATGTTACTGCTATGTGTTGTTTTTTTTTTAATGCTGTTATTGAATTGTTGTTTTATTTGTTTAAACGGCCATTGTGAAAAAAGGCCTTCATGCCTACAATTGTTACCGTTTTTTGAATAAATTTGAATTTGAATTTGATCTTCGACCACAGCTGATTTGATCATAGATGTGTTGTCCAGAATGGGCCTTTGATGCCGATACATACACATAGTTACTATGGTAACCACAGGACTAGTTAATTGTTAACGTTGCTCACCACATGTGCATGTCGTTCCACTGCAGGAAAAATCGTAGTTGGAGACGTGAGGAAAGCAGTAAGTTATATTGCCGTAGCACTGGTCGTGTATCTGGCAACACCTGGTATTTGACGAGATTTAAAACAGATGAAGTTAAAGGAGAGTGGGTTTTTTTTTTATTTAACGCCAATCAGTTTTCTGTATTAACCAACTTGGTTTACACATATTTCATACTAAATGTTTCAAATCATTATATGGGGTATATATATATATATATATATATATATATATATATATATATATATATATATATATATATATATATATATATATATATATATATGTTGGTGTGTGTGTGTAAACTTAGAGTGTGGATGTCTACATTTTTGTAATGATATGAGGTAATTTTTAAAATTCATGTGACATTTATGGACTATTTTATTTCAATTTGCTATTTCATTTTTTTATTTAATGTTTAAGGGGTTAGGCTCAGAAAGAAACGAACAAAAAATTCTTAATAAATAAGCCTTTTTTTTTACTTACTTGTGTGTATCTAAGTTAGGATACTTCTTGGAAAAAATTTCTGTATCTATGACTCTTCTTAACATATGGTTGCCATGGAAACGCCGGCCATATTGAAAAACTACCTTTTGTGGAGGTCTCAAGGATCACCATACCAAATTTTTAAACCATCGATACACACAAATAAATTAATAAGGCCTATTAATTAAGGAGTGTTTTTCGAGAGCTTTCCCACTTAACTTTTATTGCACAAAACTGCATAAAGCATTTATATGTAACTAGCTGCATACCCGTGCCTCGCCACGGTGAATCTTTTTTTTTAATTTAACAACTTTGGAACTAAACTAAACCAAACACAAAAACAAACACAAAAACAAGCGCAAATGAAAATACAAACGCAGGCGCAACATACAAATGCAAACACAAACGCAAGCACAAACGCAAACCCAAATGCAATCGCTAAAGGAAAAAAAACACAACGCAAACACAAACGCAAATACAAACGCAAAAGCAACACACTAAAGCAAACACAAAACAAAAACGCTTTATCAAATGGCTTGATCAAACAACCGGCCTTGTATTCCAACAAAAATGCTCTCACAAACGTCCTTGCAATTTGCCCATATCTTAATAGCAATATTAAGTGTGAGTTGATTTTTTTTTCATTACCTCCCCTGGCATAATTATTAAACATGTAGCCTGCTACTGTTATTAAAATGTATACATTTTTTAGGAATCTTTGAGGAAATATATTTGACATTGATCCGATTACTATGTAATATGTTTTAGCAATGTCGGTGTATTTAATATTTACCTTACGTTCTTTTGTTAACCAATGCAAAAGAGTAGAAACTTTGCCGAATATCAAGAAAACTCCATAACGTATAATAAGACAATGGGATGCAAGTAAATTCACGGCATGTGATGTTTACCTTTATGCTTCCAGAATCTATATATATATAAATCTCTTCTTGGAGACGCTAGAAAACAAGCTGTAAGCGCGCTCCCTATCACCCCACCCCTACATGGTCTGGTGAGCTGTAGTTCACGCTAAATATTTACATTAATCATAGAGACGGGTTTAGTGACGGCTATTAGGGGCAGATAATTTAGTTTGAAACGATTTTAAACTTAGGGGAGGTGACTAAGAGGAGGCTGCTTTCACGGGGGGAGTGGGTGTTGGGTAGGGGTTGGGGGAAAGGAGGGTGGGGGTAGTATCGTCCTTAACGATCTACTGATAGTGTTTTAAAGCAAATATTTTCAGTGGCAGCATTGGTACTGTCGAATTGACAAATTATGAATTACTGAAAAGTAGAAAATAAAACAACTAAATAGCGGCGTATGTTACGCCTCGGGTCGACTCGTCTATTATAGATGACCTCGCGGGAACGACCAGTTGTATTACACATTCGTGCCTTATGTCACGACGTAGCAAAACTTACTTGTCTACGTCATCTACAGGCGTTCCCGAGCCGCCAAGCCCACAATAACAGCCGTAGCCGTTGTAGTTGATCAGGGTTCCCAAGAGAGATAATTTGGTCATTGATGAAAGCATCATCCCCAGATTTAAAGCACTTCTTTTGTTGGTGTTAATCTCCTCGTTGGATGCACCTGGGCAGAACAAAAGGTCAAGCTAACCTAAGAAATAATTTAAATGTAGTGTAGTTTTCGTTTAGCTATGGACTTTAATCCCCAGGGAAGAAGGAAAGTGTGACGGCCTTAGGGATCGTTGAAAAGAACAGTAGAAGAAGACGCAAGGTCTGCCAGAGTTAATTTTTAGCTTAATTTTTATTTTATTTATTTTATTTCATTCTCTACTATTTTTTTTGGTATAAATATTGTTTTATTCTAATCATTTTATTTATTTTATTTTTATTTTATTTATTGTATTTATTTATTTCATGTATTCGTTTTTTTATTGTAGTAGGCCTAAATATTCGTTTAATTAATTTTACAAACTTTTATTTTAACTTGCTTTCTCTGTCTGTCGTTCGTCGTGCATCGTAATGGATCAGAAATGGCGAGCGAAATTTCGACTTCTTTTAAAAGAACAATTTCTTTTAAACTTGGCACGTGGGTCAGGATTCAATGACAACCCATGTGACATCAAATTTGATGCTTAGGCCCTAATTTGTTTATGAAGCAATTAATGTTTTCTATTTTTAAAAATTATTATTTTCCGCGCTTGTTTGTATTTATTTTGTGCGCAATTGTTTCTAGTAAAGCAAGTTTTGTATTTAAACATTGTAAGAATTGACAAGAAAATAAAAAGTTGACTAAAATCCTCCTAAATTCAATAAATATTTTGCTGTGAGATATTTTGCCTGAGATATTTTGTCTGAGATCATTTGTCCATGGTATCGTTTGTCCTGATATATTTTGTCCTGAGATCTTTTGTCCGTGAGATCATTTGTCCTGGGATCATTTGTCTGTGAGATATTTTATCTGAGATCGTTTGTCCTGGGATCATTTGTCTGTGAGATATTTTGTCTGAGATCATTTGTCCTGTCACCGTATACGTTTATGTATACATATAGGTATAGGTAAACGTAAACGTATAGGTATATGTATACGTATATGTATAAGTATTTGTTTATGTACCTTCCATGATTGGAGCATCTATTTGCTCCCCTGTTGTGTATACCACAAGGAGCAGGACGATTAGTTGCAGTGAGAAAGTCATCTTCTACCTAGTTAAACAACAAAAAAACGCTTTGTGATTAGGACTTAGAAAAAGCACACATGCATATACACAAACACAGGGACGGCACGGGACTAGGCGTAGGTGCAGGCACAGTTTTTCAAACAAACTTTGAAATTTAATTTAAAAAATGTAGGGTCAAATAATATTACTCACCCTCGTAAAAACAGTGGTGGGCCGTATTAGACGAAGTTTTCTTTCTCACGAAGATATTTGAATGAAAGTGGCATAGTGTCTGCTTCCATGGCCTTATGTAAGGTTTTGTACTGAGGCGAAAATGCATTGCATCAGTGCTCATTAATTCAATTGGCACCTTCTTCGCCACTTTCGAAACTCCCGCCATCATGCCTTATCTATCAATGTAAAAATCAACATACATCTACATAAAAATTACCACAACAAACTGAAGGCCACAATTTGAACAATATTGAATTGTTGTGTCATTTATTATCTGTTTGGAGATCTGATTCAGTGATAGGATAAACTCTAGAATTCAACTCAAGCAGCAACAACAGCTGTCTACATAGTACAAAGTGGTGAGACAGCAACATCCTGTCTACATAGTACAAAAGGGTGAGACAGCAACATCCTGTCTACATAGTACAAAGTGGTTAGACAGCAACATCCTGTCTACATAGTACAAAGTGGTGAGACAGCAACATCCTGTCTACATAGTACAAAGTGGTGAGACAGCAACATCCTGTCTACATAGTACAAAGTGGTTAGACAGCAACATCCTGTCTACATAGTACAAAGTGGTGAGACAGCAACATCCTGTCTACATAGTACAAAGTGGTTAGACAGCAACATCCTGTCTACATAGTACAAAGTGGTTAGACAGCAACATCCTGTCTACATAGTACAAAGTGGTGAGACAGCAACATCCTGTCTACATAGTACAAAGTGGTTAGACAGCAACATCCTGTCTACATAGTACAAAGTGGTTAGACAGCAACATCCTGTCTACATAGTACAAAGTGGTGAGACAGCAACATCCTGTCTACATAGTACAAAGTACAAAGAAAACTTATTCCTCTATATAGAGGCTCTAGTAAACAATTTTTTAGAGGTTCTAAATAACAATTTTCTGAGAACTTATTCCTCTATATATAGGCTCTAGTAAACAATTTTCATGGAACGTATTCCTCTATATAGATGTTTCAGTAAGCAATTTTAAGGAAACTGTGTCCTCTATATAGAGGATCAAGTAAACAATTTTCAGGAAAGTTCTTCGTCTTTATATCATAGAGGATCTAGTAAATAATTTTCAGGAATGTTCATTGTCTTTATATCTTAGAGGATCTAGTAAACAATTTTTAGGAAAGTTAATTGTCTATATATCTTAGAGAAGGTTTCTAGTCATCAATGTTCAGAGTACTTCATCCTCTATATCAGGAGTATTGAAAAGGACATAACAATATAAAATTAAAATAAATAAAAAGACTTTGTATATCTTTATTTCAAACAAATAAAGTCACATCATCTTATTATCTTGATATCACCCTCTTACACTGAAATTTACATTGGGATTTAATTATTTTTTTAAATGAAATGATGTATACACATTTTCAAACAGCCACTACTATTTGTATGCATAATGTTTATTTTTTACCTTAACTCAAATTGAAGTTTCACTAATTACCTACAGATATGTTCCCAAAGTGGGTGATATGCCACCTATATCCGGGTGCAGGGGGGGGGGGGGTGATGGTTGGGGGGATAGAAAACTCAGGTGGATAAAAAAAATTACCACACATAATCTTAAGTTATTTTTTTATTCTTCGATTACAACCACAAAATATAGATCTTCCCCAAAACTTCAAAACACATTAATAGAAGTAGTCACAAATCTGGTACAAATCACATTAATAGAAGTAGTCACAAATCTGGTACAAAACACATTAATAGAAGTAGTCACAAATCTGGTACAAAACACATTAATAGAAGTAGTCACAAATCTGGTGTAAAACACATTAATAGAAGTAGTCACAAATCTGGTACAAAACACATTAATAGAAGTAGTCACAAATCTGGTACAAAACACATTAATAGAAGTAGTCACAAATCTGGTACAAAACACATTAATAGAAGTAGTCACAAATCTGGTACAAAACACATTAATAGAAGTAGTCACAAATCTGGTACAAAACACATTAATAGAAGTAGTCACAAATCTGGTGTAAAACACATTAATAGAAGTAGTCACAAATCTGGTACAAAACACATAAATAGAAGTAGTCACAAATCTGGTACAAAACACATAAATAGAAGTAGTCACAAATCTGGTACAAAACACATAAATAGAAGTAGTCACAAATCTGGTACAAAACACATAAATAGAAGTAGTCACAAATCTGGTACAAAACACATAAATAGAAGTTGTAACAAATCTGGTTCAAAACACATCCATTCCTGGGTGTGGACTTAAAACAAAAGATTTGATTTGAATAGCTTTCGTAACATTAAAGTAGTTTTTATGCGTTGTATAGTCTTTATCATTTCTTGACAGCAAAAAATTTTTATGGTTGTGATTAAAATAGCAGTTGATTGGAAACGAAAACGGAACGATAATAATTTTATAACAATAGCAGCATAGCAAGTTAATACTTTTCATTGTTTTGTTTTAATGTTATTCAAATGTATTTTCTTTGTAAACAAAGAATACTTTTTTTCATTTTGCTATACTGTAGACCGTTGGCATTGTCTTAACGTCAAGTTTTAATTTTCTTTAAAGCTATTTAATACTAGCGTGCCCGTCCCCACGCGTTGCTGCGGGGATAGAAGAAAGTATGACGTAATATTTTAAGAGGGTTTCATCATTGCGTTACTAATATTATATTCTTAGAAGTTGACCTTGTTTTCTAAAACTGAGGTATTTAAATGTAAACAATACCTGCGCTTGGATCATATATATCAGGGCACGGGTTTACCTATCGCATGAAAGCCTTGAGAGCACGTTTTATTCTCATTTGCTCCAAAGTTTCATGGCACTTGAATGAACGGTGTCGAACCGCATCTGATTTTTATTGTGTGTATACCTTATATATATAAAAAAACGCACCCTCCCGGGGTGCCTCCTTGCGGAATTAAACTTTTTTTTTGCAGAAATCTCCCCAGGAGTATTCTCAACAACTTCCCAAAGTTTCATGGCGATCGAATGAAAGGTGTAATAATTCATAAAAGACACACACACTCACACACATACATACACACACATAAATTGCTCTTTATAGAAAAGATGTATGATGAGTCGGTTTGTGTGTTAACTGGGGTGTGTGTTTGGCGTGTGTGGGTGAGTGAGTGTGTGTGTATGGTTTTTAGGAGCTTTGACCACAGCTTCTTTGGCCATATATGTGTTGTCCAGTGTGGGGCTTTGACCCCACCCCCATGCAACAAAAAGCAGCTGGTTTGTTAACTGCATACTTATCAATGTGAAAATTAACATAAATTTATTTAAAATAATTGAAGGCCACCATTTGAAAATGAATAAATTGTGCTTCTTATTATCTGCTCGGGGATCTGATTCGATAAAAGGGAAAACTCTGTGCAGGCGTCGAGAATTAAACAGAAGCAGCCTATAAATTTATTATATAGCGTGGGAGACACCAAACAAGCTGTCTACATAGTGGGGAGACACTAAACAAGCTGTCTATGGAGACACTAAATAGGCTGTCTATGGAGACACTAAACAAGCTGTCTATGGAGACACTAAACAGGCTGTCTATGGAGACACTAAACAGGCTGTCTATGGAGACACTAAATAGGCTGTCTATGGAGACACTAAACAAGCTGTCTATGGAGACACTAAATAGGCTGTCTATGGAGACACTAAACAAGCTGTCTATGGAGACACTAAACAGGCTGTCTATGGAGACACTAAATAGGCTGTCTATGGAGACACTAAACAAGCTGTCTATGGAGACACTAAACAGGCTGTCTATGGAGACACTAAACAGGCTGTCTATGAAGACACTAAACAAGCTGTCTACATAGTGGGGAGACACTAAACAAGCTGTCTACATAGTGGGGAGGCACTAAACAGGCTGTCTATGGAGACACTAAACAAGCAGTCTATGGAGACACTAAACAAGCTGTCTATGGAGACACTAAACAGGCTGTCTACATAGTGGGGAGACACTAAACAAGCTGTCTACATAGTGGGGAGACACTAAACAAGCTGTCAATGGAGACACTAAACAGGCTGTCTATGGAGACACTAAACAGGCTGTCTATGGAGACACTAAACAGGCTGTCTACATAGTGGGGAGACACTAAACAAGCTGTCTACATAGTGGGGAGACACTAAACAAGCTGTCTACATAGTGGGGAGACACTAAACAAGCTGTCAATGGAGACACTAAACAAGCTGTCTACATAGTGGGGAGACACTAAACAAGCTGTCTACATAGTGGGGAGACACTTAACAAGCTGTCTATGGAGACACTAAACAAGCTGTCTATGAAGACACTAAACAAGCTGTCTATGGAGACACTAAACAGGCTGTCTATGGAGACACTAAACAAGCTGTCTACATAGTGGGGAGATACTTAACAGGCTGTCTACATAGTGGGGAGACACTAAACAAGCTGTCAATGGAGACACTAAACAAGCTGTCTATGGAGACACTAAACAGGCTGTCTATGGAGACACTAAACAGGCTGTCTACATAGTGGGGAGACACTAAACAAGCTGTCTATGGAGACACTAAACAGGCTGTCTATGGAGACACTAAACAAGCTGTCTACATAGTGGGGAGACACTAAACAAGCTGTCTACATAGTGGGGAGATACTAAACAAGCTGTCTATGGAGACACTAAACAGGCTGTCTACATAGTGGGGAGACACTAAACAAGCTGTCTACATAGTGGGGAGATACTTAACAGGCTGTCTGTGGAGACACTAAACAAGCTGTCTGTGGAGACACTAAATAGGCTGTCAATAGAGACACTAAACAAGCTGTCTACATAGTGGGGAGATACTT